TGCAATATAACAAAGAGTGAAAAATTGAAGGGGGTCTGAATACTTTCCGTACCCACTGTATATATTAGGGGTGTAATGATACACGTATTTGTATTGAACCGTTCGGTACAAGACTTTCGGTTCGGTACGCATTACAAACTGACAAACTGGACTAATCCTATTACATTTGGAAAATAAAAGAGCTTAAAGTGTGTGAAATATAATGTTCTCAGTGCCACTGCGCTCAACAAGGCAGCCCAAATGACGTAAAAGCAACGTGCTGTCTGCTCAGTGGTGTAACGGTGTAAAATGCCCTGCTGGGTTGCGTTCGAAAGACGGTGATCTTGTATCGACGATAGCCAGAGATTTTCACTTTCTGCATAGCGAATTGACTGAGATGAAGACATTCACTGGCATAACTCTTGTGCGAAGTTTGCACGTTGCTTATGTGATATCCATTGGCTCGCCTTCATTGTTTAAAACAGAAATATTTCCAACATTGCGACGTAAGCAACTACCAACCGTATCGAAAACATACCGAACTGTGACACCACTGTCGTATCAAACCGTGAATTTTGTGAACCGTTACACCCCTAATATATATATGCAGTTGTGCTCATAAATTTACACGCCCCTTGCAGAATGTGCAAAATGTTAATAATTTTAACATTCAAAAATTGCATGTTATTTTTTATGTAATACTGTCCTGAATAAGCCATTTCACATAACAGATGTTTATATACTCTCCACAAGACAAAATAATAACTGAATTAATAAAAAATGACCCCATTCAAAAGGTTACATACTGTTGATTCTTAATACTGTGTGTTGTTTCCTGGATGATCCACGACTGTCTTTCTGTTTTGTGAACCATTTCTAACAGTGACTGTATGATTTTGAGATCCATCTTTTCACATGGAGGACAATTGGGGGACTCATACATCACTATTATATAAGGCTGATGTACTGATGCTCCAGAAGGCCACACAATGCATTAAGAGACGGGGGGTGAATAAGTATTATAATGTATTATAACTGTGGTTATAATTATTCTTAAGATCATACAATGCATTATTAGGTGCATTACAATGCATAATAAATGCATTAAAACTACTCTTATAATGCATTATACATAAAGGCTTTAAGTATTACCGTAATTGTTAGTTCATGTTAACTAATTGTTGTTAGCAAATGGAACTTTATTGTAAAGTATTGCTAATAAAAATAAAAACTCTTTAATTTGGGAACTAATTCTCACTAATTATGACATTTGCCTTAATAAAATCCTAATTTGCTGCTTATTAATAGAAAGGTAGTTGTTAAGTTTAGGTATTAGGTAGCATTAAGGGATATAAATATGGTCATGCAGAATAAGGCATTAATATGTGCTTTATTAATACTAACTGAAAATTGAGTGTTTACTATTATCATTTTGCATTATTGACACAATATTTTCCTAGTTAATGCTGTACAGTTGCTTTGACACAATCTGTATTGTTAAAAGCGCTATATAAATAAAGGTGACTTGACTTGACTTAATAAACAGCCAATATGCTAGTAATATGCATGCTAATAAGCAAATATAATAGTGAGAATTGGTCCCTAAAGTCTTAACAAAATATATAAGATATATAGCAGAAAAAAAAATAGGCCAAAAATATTGTGCAATATATTAACTAATAAAATAAAATATGAAATAAAACTATGACAAGGTATTTGTCATCATTTATGTATCATAATGGTGTTTGTATAAGATCAGGTGATTCCCCGATTGATTTCTGAGTCTGGACTCGATACAGAAAGCTTCCGACTTTTGCAGTTATGATAGGTGTTGTTATTGTTCAGAGGCAGTAAGGTATGCCGAGCTGATTGAGTGGACTGGATGTTTAATTAAGTTGATGAGTGCTTTCTTTAATTGACGGCATAAATTGCATGCCTGTGAATATGATCCGTCATATTCCATTTGAGTTTTATGTAGATGAACACATTACTTTAATGGCCTGCCGTTTTACAGCACTGGAGGGGGTGCTAGGAGAGAGCGAGACGGGGGGTGAGGGAGGTTAGGAGGAGGGTACGAGGGAGGCTCCCACCGTTACATTTCTACAGCAGCCAGATGGCTTTTCTTGCAAGAGAATTAAAAGATGTTTCTAATTCACAGCGTTGCCTCCTGTGTAAATTAATATTGCAAGGCCGAATCGTTTCTGTTTCGGTAGAATCCCAGACCGAAAGAGAGAGAACAAAAAATCATTTTGTCTGGATAAGCAGGAGATTCCACTAGCAGATTGTTGCTCAGGTAAACGGATCCATATTTGAGATGCTGGGCGGCAGCTCTTGAACAGCGGCCCATGTTAATTGACTGCTTGGGAAAGCAAAAACTATAATGGCTTATTATTAGTCATGAACAGGGATGAACAGAGAGAGAGAGAGGAGCCTGCAATCATTACCTGCATGATAAAGAGGCATTAATGAAGCAAAAGAACAATGATGTAAAAATTAGCTGCTTAATATTTGTAAATGATTGCGCTTTTCATAAATACATTAGCTTACAGTCTGAGGTTAAAAACAAAATGTTTATTCTGTCTGGTGAGATTTTGCATTCTGAATTTAGCCTGTGATTGAATGCAATAATTATCTATCTATCTATATCTATCTATCTATCTATCTTAACTGTTAATGCTGTGTAGATACTACATTATTTAGTTATTTAAAATGTATTGTCCATTTTAAAACCAGGCCGTCTGATGCATATTGCACACAAAACAGGTACAAACTGGCTGAAATCACAGGCTTCAGTCTGACTGGCTGCCTTAACATAATTTCCACATTGGTTGGGTTAATACAAAGAGCACTTTTAAAGAATAAATAGTCACTAGCAATCACAAATTTATTTAGGGAAATGTGGTTTGCGGCTGTCGATCACAAGGAGTCTTCCTGGTTAAATTTGAGGTTACTGTTCACAAATATGTGTGGGCAAAAATTAGTCATTTTCATAGGAATCCACTTGATCTGGAATTTTGCATAAGCATGAAAGATTTCCCATCTTGTTGTACAGGCTGATTATTGGCGCTGATCAACAGAAAGCCGTTTGGTTTGAAAGTGACTTCTCTGCGAGTTGTTCATCGTAACATGAAATAGGCAAAAAATGTAAAAAAAAAAAATAGACAATGGATTTTCTTTGCCCACAAAATTTTGCTAAGGTGTCTGAACCTTAAGGTGCCTCTATTATGCCATTTTTAAGGTTCCTAATATTGTTTTGGGAGTCTCATATAATAGGTTTACATGCATGCAAGGTCAAAAAATGCTTTAGTTTTCTCAAAATATGCATTTGATATCACCTAATTTTCCAGTGATTCTTAAACGATTCGTTAAAAGCAATTCTAAGATTCACTCTCTCTAAACCCATCCTTTCCATGAGCCTACTCTGCTCTGATTGGTCAGATGGCCCAGTCTGCTGTGATCTCTAAACCCATCCCTTCCATGAGCCTACTCTGCTCTGATTGGTCAGATGGCCCAGTCTGCTGTGATTGGTCTACTGCGTGCAGCGTGTGTCGGAAAGGATACGCCCATTGCCATAGTTCTGTATTTTAAATGCTCGATGGAAAATATAAACTTCTATTATTTATCATACTTACAGGTTTTGATTCAGTGGAGCCAGCTGGTCCAAATAAACTGGGTACTGAGCCATCTTTCAGGAGCAAGTGTTTTGTGAATCCCACGTTGAACTCCCCAAGATTACAGAAGCAGTCGTCAGTAAAATGACTGGAACACAAAAAAGATTGGGGTTGTACTGCTGTGGTACAGTGAAAAAAATGCATTTTAACCACTGATTCTTTGCAGCCTCATCTTTCAGAAGTGAAAATAAAACAAATTTACTTTCACATCATAGGACAAAGCGTCTTCTTGACATGAGGTTATCCACATGAACAAGCTACAGTAGCCGGGTTTCCATCCAAAGTTGCGAATTTAACTTATGCGCAAAATTGAAATATCGCATAAAACATTTACGAATAAGCACCGCTTCCATCCAACGTGTCAAAAAGAACAAAATCATCACTTCCTGGTAGAACTGGCGCTAGGCTATATATCACTATGAAAAGTAGGAGAAACCCCTGAATATAATAATTTCCATAGGCCTATATAATAAATTACTTGCGCCTCAGAGCGAGCAGACAAAACAAAATAAATGCGGTCATTGCTTTCAGGGGTGAATGCTGCTGTTTGGGAAGTGGTGAGGTGTAACAGTTCTGGGAAGCAATTATACAGAAATACGTTGATGACAGACTTTGCTCGGACATTTCAAAATGACCATAACATTTTAGATGCTGAGGAACGAGATTGGTCCACTGGTTAGGTTTTGCCGTCCCATAGCGTGCAGTCACATACATTTTTTGATGCGCATGGAGGAATTTACTCGGCAAATGTGTTTCCATCTCCTTTTATTTGCATTAACCCTTTTTCGCAAAGTCAAAAACCACCTCAAGCGAGCGTAAAAACTTTTTTGCGAATTAAGGGATTTTTATTCGAAATTTGCCGTTTCCATCACTCGTTTCTGATGCGATACTTCAAAATGCGCATAAAAACAGGGTGATGGAAACACTGTTAGTGTATAAGGGTGGGGTCAAGTTGTTCTGCGGCTAGCCAACGTAGAACATAGGCAGGCATTATGCAAATGTGTCACCCCATGACATGTAGCCATCACGGAAGTGTGATTCGAATTACTGACGACTCGTTTAGGCTGTTCAGAGTTGATTCTTTCTTTTGGGAGACAACTTTATCATGCACTTTTGGCTTTACAACTTTGCAGAACGTTTACATTCATATACAGCTACATTACACACTGCACGAAAGGCAGTATTCGAAATGGCATGATAGGGGCACTTTAAATGGGCGGTTTATGGCCAGAATCTTGCCATTAACACACATTCTGTTTGAGCTGTGCTTCATACATCGCCACACGACTGAAAAACAGACAGTGGACTTTTCTTTGTCCATGAAATTCCGCTGAAATTTCTCTAATGTGACCGAACCTTAAATAGGCTGTTCATGGATAGAATATTGGCCATTTTCAAAAGTCTGGGACGAGACTACACCTTTCTTAACCCCTCTACACTCTCTACAGGTGGAATGTGCTCGGCCTGCAGGGGGCGTTGCTTAGTCATTTTGTGGAGCCGGTGTACCTGTACAGCCTGACGGTGGGCAGCCTAAGACACACGGGTCACTTCTCCAGGATGATGAACAACAGGTTGGAGAGAGTCGGTCCTCTGCCTACCTGCTACCATCGTAACCAGCCTCTACTGAGCGGTATGTCCTTTAAACCTTTACCTTATTCATCTTCTAAATGTTAGCTAGACTCTGAACAACAGAGTTAACAACCGTGCTTTTTATGGTCCCTGCTGACCAGTAGATCCCTGTATACAAGCATAACTGGTCTCACTCACACCTCTCCAAGTGGGACTCTAATCATCATCAATCAGCATGGGAGGCTAAAGATGGTGTGAGAGTAATAGAGGCCAAGTAGGTAGAGCTGTGCTTGTAAACCTCACTCCCTAGCGACTTGTTGGCACACCATGACAGTTGACTCTGGTTTGAATCCCACTCTTGAGCTGTGCAAGTAGGGCCAGTTACACTAGCAAACTCAAGGTTGTGGGTTTGAATCGAAGGGAACACGCATATAAATAAAATGTATGGCTTGAACGCATAGTTAAACCTAAGACCATGCCAATGCTTTAGCAGACGTGACCTTATGCGCATGGAGGACACTCCGTCTCGCTCCATCACTTTGTTAAACTGCTCTCCTGAGCCTCAGTATGGCAGACGGACTGCTCTATTGGATCTACCCATCCTCCAAATCAATCTCATCAAACACCTTATCACTGCCATTGAAGAGGAGAGCGATCCATTCACTCTTCCTCTCACGCCCAGTGGGCCGCACGTCTCCGGCACAGCCCCTTTGACCACCATTGATGAGCTTCTCTTCCTTTGTCTGGATTCTCTTGTTGGGGAAAATGGGCTGGTTATTTTAGGCATCGCCATCATAAAGGGCACAGAGTTCCCAAGAAGCGGCCGAGATCTCTTATCGTAAGGGAAGCAAATGACCCCTTCAGTCAGGAAGCTAAAATGAGGCTGTCCTCAGTGGTCATACCTGCGCTTAACGCTCAGATGCTTTAGCACAGCAGACATATTATCTTAAATACAGCATCACATTTAGTGTTTTAGCAGCATTCTTGTGTAAAATACTCTGCATGATGTATAGACAACATAGTTAGTGACAGTAAATGAAGACAGCTTGAGGGAAAATAAAAATGACTGGTATTTCCTTCAAACTTTTCCTGTGACTCATTATTTGTATATTATCGACTCATTATTTAGTTTCACTTATGCGCAGGGGAGGTCATTAAATTGTTTTACTAAATGCATGTTGCATTTTATAATGCAGATGTTAGATTAAAGCTCCAAACAACAGCATGTTTACAAATAAGCTATATTTAATAAATGTGTGAATACGAAGGTGCATGAAGGTTGAGAAATATCATTCAAATTATATACACACACAGTACATGAGATGAAAACTCTGGACACATTTGTCTTCAAGAAAAAAAAAAAGTTTTATTCTACGTGATGGAGGTTGCAATCTACTGGTCCGAACAGAATGAGTATGAGTGAAAAATAAAGTCTGGTGCGAGCTGTGCGACAATGCCAGCCAGCTTCAACAATGCATGTAAATCCTTTAGACTGAATTTATCGATGTATTGTTTATGTACAAGAAAGTAAAGGAACAAAAGACAAACTGCTTTGTAAAGCAGTAGCGGTTAGTAAACAAACTTCATACATCCAGGCCAGTAGGTGTCAGTATATAGTCAAGAACTACTCAAAAAAATAAAAGCTAGTAAAAGATTACTGATAAACAGAACTTTATAAGCACACCTTTAATTAGCTTAACCAAATTACGTAACTATCTTAAGCAGTAAGACTTTCATCATCAACAATCTTTAATTGTATAATGCTAGTCAATCTGCTTCACCAGCTCAGTTGTGCTGGTTCACCTGCTTCTCTAGCAACAAAATAATTCACCAACACAAACCAGATTGAACTAGCAATTGTACAAATGTTTCAGACTGGAGATTCATGTAGGTAAAAGTGCCGTGTTTAGATGGTAAACGTTGTACTGCGAAACTCTTGCATGATTCTCTCTAACCTGCTCTTTGTTAGCAAAATTGAGACTGTGTATGACTTTACTGAGGATGTCCTTTCAATACAGGTCATATACTTTAGCACATCACTTTTAGAAGATATGAAGTGGCACTTAAGAGTAGCCGTATGTCAAACACAGTGATCACATTTAGCAGCATCTTGTGTAAAATACTCTGGATGATGGATAGACGACAGCATTGTGACTGACAGTAAATGATGAAGCCTGCTTGAGGTAAAATACAAATTAAATGCTCTATTACTGACATATAATGGATAAACCAAATGCGGAGTATGAAATGACACTGTGAATAAGTGAGCGAGGGCTTGTGAAAGCAGCTGCGTTACGGCATAAAAGGATATGCACATTATTATAGCAGACAATTTATTCCACCTGTTTAGATGCACTGAATAGAAAATCTGAGATTTGCAGGAGGATTAAAGGAATAGTTCAACCAAAAATGAAAATGCTGTCATTTGCCAAATGTGTATGACTTTCTTTCTACTGTGGAAAACAAAAAGAGATATATTACATAAGGTCCAGGTTGCTTTTTATCAGGATATGAGCTCCAGCATCTTATACGTTCCACAGCAGAAAGTTAGTCAAGTTATATCAACACTCTCCGCAGTTTAGTAAATGTGCTACCGCACTATATCGCCATTGTGTCTCACATATAGCACTCACAAGTCAGCAGTACAGTATATGGGCATGCTATGATACTCTCCACTTTAAGAAAGAAAGAATGCCATGCTAATTGGTGTAGCGATGCGGCAATGATTGAGGAGCCCGAGAGATCTTTTGTGCCTGGAACCAGTGTTTACCTCAAAGATAGCACAGACGACACAGACATGCTCGCCTGCTAATGAAACACTTCAGCAATCACATGCTAAATAGAACCTCCCTCGAGTGCTCTTTCTTACCCGTCTTGCTTTCTTTCGCTCCCTCTCTTTTCTCCTATACACAGGCCTGAGCAACAGCGACTGCAGGCAGCAGGGGAAGTCCGTGTGTTACAGTGTCAACTGGACGGCAGGTGACACCCAACTGGAGGTGCTCAACGCGTCTACTGGGAAGAGAAGAGACTCCGGGGCTCCGTCCAGACTTTGCAAGCATGCGCTTTTTGCACGTTGGATCAGACTCTATCGCAAGGTGAGCTCACCTTGGCATGCTGGATTAGAATTTGAATACTTCCATACTATAAAGCAGGCGAAAAACAGTACAAAGGTAAGTTGTGATCGTGTTTTGATGCATATACAAGATCCCCTATTGTGATGTATGAACCGGCTTCACAAACAAAGGAAAAAATCTAGGGTGAGACTTGATTTTGTCCATTGGGAGTTGTGTTTTTATTGTTTGCCAATTGTCGCAATCTTATATGAGTGACAGGTTGCTGGAGGGGAGTGATTATTGCCCCGTCCTCACCCCAGTGCACATGTCATCAGAGGAGTTAATTGCGAGGGGGAGGTGAAGTTAATCGTCAATATCCATTTCATGGTGACTAAGTCCTGTTCACACTTGATACACAACAATAAATCTGAAGTCACTGTGCTTTTGATATACTGCCTGGTCACCATAGTAGTCTATGTCTGGTCACCAGGGATGCCATAACATGGGAAAAATGTTTAGCCGCAGCTTAGAAACGCGTCCCTGCTGGTCACTGTATCTTTAGAGTTCACTTACTGCAAGCAGTTTGAGGTTAGGGATCTCGATCAAGGTCACAGTCAATGGACCCTTGCAGAGTTGAAACCTAGGACCTTTCAATTACCAACCCAGTTCCAGTGGCATTTCCTCAGGTCAATATAAAGAACTAGTTGAGGATGAATAATTCTGTTTTTATTAACCACAACAGACAGCTCCCATTTGTTATGAGATGGAAAAAAAAAGCATAGGGCAGAATTAGGCCCTCATCATGTAAATGTATGGGAGAGATGCCGGCTGCTGTACCAAATGCTGGCAGTTAAAATCTAATGACTGTGGAAATGGTAATCATCTTGAAAAGCACTTGAGCGGCCTCCCATGGCAAACGCTCAGCGCTCGCAGTCAGGGACGCAAGAGCACACACGCTAATCTCCAAAGAAACTTTTCTTTTCTCCGAGCCCCTCCGTTCACCGCTCCCTCTTTTTGCTCACACCGTTTTTTCGTGTGTGTGAGTGTGCGACAAAGAAACGCACAAAAGCACGGAGAATGTTCAATTGCTTGTGAAATTTAAATGGAGAGATTACACAGCTGCTCAAACGCCACGTTTGTGCCGGCTCATTCGTTTTGTTTTGCACTATCACCATCTCTTCTGTCTGTCCCATCCCTCTCTCCTTCATTACTTCTTTTGTTTCCTCTCTCTATAGCTGGTGGTCCGTGGGGCGAGTGGTATGCCGCTGTACTGTGAAGCGAAGCAGGCGGCCGGCACCTACCAGACTGTGAAGCTGCAGTGGTTGAAGGGTCTACAGGAAGCAGGATTAGGGACCTGGGTCAGAAAACCTCCCGAGCAGGAAAACTTCACTCTGACTGTATGAGTGCGGAAGCCTGACCTCGTCACCAAAACCACCTTCACCTTGCAACCAGTCGCCACAGAAGCCCTATTTCACCCCTAAAGTCAACAACATCCCACTGCCAAAAAATCTCCACAAGGAGATGACAGGAGTCACGACTAGGTGGTAAACCTTGTTCTGTCAAACTTTCGCAAAATGTTGCTACCAAGGTAAGGATGAAGCACGGAAGAATTTTGTACCTTGCCTTTTATGGCTTCTGTAGGGAGGGGTACGGTTAGTGTTTTTTTCCAGACCAGTAAAGCGCAAACCGCCCCGCAGCCGATTCTATAGATTTCATTGGTCATGTCAGTCACAATGCTGAATACTAACCCTTAACCTGAACCTGAGTAACCTAGCGTTGGAAGCACATCCCCAGTACATAGCATTACTATTTGTTGCAATTAAATCCCTGCCAAAAGTCTGGACTTTTATTCAGGTTGACTTTGTGATAGGGTTGACCAATGACATAGACTGAGTGGAGGGATTTGCGCTTAACTGATATAGAAAAAAAAATAATGTGTACGGTTAATGTTCCGACATCATGAAAGATCCTACAGTATACCCCCGTCCTCAACATTTGATTAAAACATAGAATGGTGTACCACCTTGTTCTAGCTAGTCAAAAAAAAGTTTCCCAACCACCGAGTGCTATGCTAAGCTAGAAGGCTAAGCTAAGAACAAATTCAACACAAAATGATTTTCTAGCATTTCTAATCAGGCTCAGAATTGAATACCTAAAAAGTTATGGAATTGCTTTTGTGTCCAAAGAGGATAGGATCTCACAGGAAAAGCGATGGATTCTACTGCTAGGGCTGTCAAATGTTCCATATAATATGGAATCGTTCCGTATTTAAGGCATCAAAGAAGCTTGTCCCATATTCGAAGGCATACGCCTTAAGACCTAGACCATACGTATAACAAATTCTCAATTGATAATTAATCATTCTTTTTGCACAAATCATCGTTTGAATTGCGTTCGTAGCCATTTGTGCAAGAATTTAAGACGTTGCAGAATCCTTTGTCTTCTAGTCGCTCCCGCTTCACAGCTAAAAGCGATTCTGTTTCACCGTCCACGTTTTGATTTCGGCAAATCCGTTTTGGCGAATTCAAACAATGTGATATTGATCATAAGAACAACATCCAGCTAGGCAAGAAAACATGCAGTCTACCTGAGGGAAGATGTCTTTCGTTAGTTAATATTGTTAAATAGAGAAAAAAAATATATTTTTAAAATTTTAACTTCTAGTGTGTCTTAAACTTGGACCTCAATACAGAAGCACAAATGTGTGACACTCCCAAGATTTAATTTTCTCAGCATTTCCATACACTGCACTACAGCGGAAGTTGCATTGGCCATTGAGGCCAAATGCAGAAGCGATCGTGCATGCAGTCCATTATGGCATGTCGATTATCGCAAAATAATTTTGATTTGTCCATCAGTATTTAAAAACCAAAAACATGGAAGGTTAGGGTTACCCATAGGGGGTGCTTTGTTCTGGGAAACAATGTATGTAGCTTTCGCAAGACTTTTGGCAGAACAAGGATTACCAGCTACGGAATTGACAACAAGGGGAAATGTGAGAAACGGGGACAATTTTCTCACAACACAGCAGATGGAAAGATTGTCACCTCTCTCTCTCTCTCTCGCTCCACTGACGGCTCTCCTTTAGCCGTCATTCAAACATGTGTATGTGTGTTAACCTTCACCAAAGTGAAAGGCAGCCGCCGTCTTGTCATTATCTGCCCATTTCCGGATGGCCTGCCCCTGAAGAGCTCCGAAACGCTGTCCAATTAGAGGTCCTGTCAGAGTGATGCGTCCCTCATTTTCCTCTCTCTCCTTTGCCTTTGGTTCATTGGTACAAATTCAAAACTGGAAAAAAAGAGGGAACGAAAAAACAGTAGGGGTTGACATTGCAAAGACAGGTTAATTCAGCTCCATTTCAGGTGTGCAGGTTAGAGGTGATGGTGACAAGCTAATGTAAATGGTGCCATTACGACACCCCAGGTCTCTTACCGTTTTTTGAGCAGGGACAAGCTTGCTGCTTTAATACCTCAATCCCGCTCACCGGTGACATGTCATTTCTCCACTGGTTTCTCTTTGTGTGTCAGTGCTGTATCTTTACACGGGGTGTTCCGGGCAGAGACTTGCGTGAAAAGAAAGGGAAACGTCGGCGGTTTGATGCAGGCACAAAAGACGACAAGAAAATGGAGTTAAGAGTGCGAGTAGAGATCCGTGATTATGGAGTAATTTGTAGTTAATGGATTCATTTACAAACAGAGCACATTACAAATTGCTTCGTAAAGCCCGACACAACCTTTGAAACGCATGCCACATTAACCGAGGTTTAACCAATGCATTTGTTTATTTAATTTACAGCTACATCCCATTCATGTCTTTTTGATTTAGATGTGCGCTTTTCTGTGGTTTCGTATGCGTGCTTAAACCTTGAATTATTTCGTCAATTATCATTTTGTCTGTGAAGATGTTTATTGTTGTATACAAATACAATCATATTACTCCATGATTATTATATTTTAATTGACTCGCAACATTTTAATGGTTGATTCCTTTCTTTCCGTAGTTATTGCATAATTTGTTACTGCTTTGAGTATATCACAGCACATGTGTTTTTTTTTCCATAAGCTTTCAGTATGTATTTTCAAATGCCACTTTGTCAACCTCTGCTGAGACATCATGTATCCACCCCTTTACAAACAGCTCAAGATGTTACAGGGACACCTAGTGGTGGCAAATATATTTAAGGTTTTCTCTGACCCGTTTAATGTCTGACGTTATATTTTAAATAATGAATCATCCCAGCTTAAATGTGATCATTTTGTCTACTAATAGAAATAGAATATCAATAGAAAGATGGTGAAACTGACAGATCGAAATATGTAACTCGGCATTACCTACCTTTGGCTTCTTTCCGTTATCTGGATTTATGTTTTTCCCCAAAAATGTCTAAAAGGTTCAACTTGATGATATTGAATGGAATAATCTGTTTCATAGTTATTTCCACCACACTGACAACCCAGTTTGAAATTGACATAATTGGAAAGACTGTTAATGCACGTCTGTCTTAGATGTACTTGTTTCACTTACCTTTTTTTTTTTTTTTGGCAACATTTGTTTTTTGTTTGGGTTGAACCTTTTCTTCATTACAACAGAAACATGAAAAGTCCCAGACAAAACTACATCTCAAGTAATTCAGTCGTAACAAGGCATGATTGAATGGCAATATTGTACTAATGACTGTACATTTTGTAAAAATTTGTAAAAAAAGAAAAAATGTAAACAATACCTTAAAGATATCTCTCAATAAAGTGTAAATTTTATCCCAAAAGCATAAGCTGCTAAGGTGTGTACATTGCACTTGAGTTAAAAGTGAATGTTTATGTGAATAAAAACAAAAATGTTGTGTTATACTTTGACTCTGTTTGTTGTACTGTAAAAAAAATACGTTTTTTTTTATTTTTTAAAAAGTAACACTTTACTTAAAGCCTTTATGTATAATGCATTAATTATGCCTTGCAATGCACCTTATAATGCATTGTACAATCTCATAAATAATTGTAACCACAGTTAATACATAACACGTCATGTAAAATACTTCAATTCACTGTTACACTATGCATTTTAAATTCGGTTGTAATATTTACGACAAGATATAATGTATTACAATGTACATTTTGAATAATTATAATGCATTATACCCTCTAATAACCCTTTAAAATGCATTATACATTTACATATATATATATAGTAATATCAGATTTGTTTGTACACAGAATAATAAATTAATTTGTAGATTCAATCAAAACAATGCAATCGTTGAAAGACATCTTCACTTTATTCTGAAGCCCAGCAGTGAATGATTTTGATGCTATATCTCTACATTATTATATGATGCAATATGTTTCTCCAATACAGCAAATTAAGTTGCTCTCAAATAAAAAAAGTGAAATGGCTCAATACAGAATACCCCACAGAACATTCTATCAAGTTAAAGACAACTAAAATGTTGGAGATCAGACTCATTTTTAAAGGACGTTCTGATGGGTCATATGCGTTGTTAAGACAGCTGGATAAAAGATGAGCGTTTTCTATGCGTCTTTGCGTACATTTCAACTCTAAAGCCAAATACAGTCCATTAAACATGGACGTCACACAAATATATAAACAAAGCATAATAAACATCTTTTTGTTAGACCTAACAGATTTAACAGACTGCCTACGTGAAAAGAACTGACACTTTCCACCAAGACTTCTAGCACAGTCCAAAGTAGTTCTGGTGAAAGCCCAGTAATGCAGTAACGATACCAATTGTAACACACTGATGGAAGAGCTTCCATTTAAGGATTATTGACGAATGTCGCAAGTCATTCAAGCGAGGTTTCTGTAGATACGGCTATGCACAGTGGTTCACACATCACAAGAAGTCCAAAGTACATCAGGAAGCCTTTCAAGCATCAGCAGACCACACTGAGCCAGGCATTGACATTTGGTCTGATGATTATCGACGAATATTACAATATCGAAAACTCGCTGCCGCAAACGACTCTACAGCAGTGAGCAACACGCGAACTTGTTCTGAATTCAGATGCATTGATTCAAATATCTACTTCTACATGACTTGAAAGCCCTTGAAATGGAAGTGAACATCAAACGTAGGGCTTCATAAACAGTCAATACGTTTTTTTTTTGGTGAACAAGATTACACAGCAATTATACAGCATTTTGCTTCACATATTTGACAAGAGAGGTGGGTTTGTCATGCAAATGGACTACGGCAATACTGACAGAAGCTGATTGGCTGCTTGAATGGCATTTAGAACATCAAGAAGGTGCGGATCCGTAAATGCGATTGCCGATTTCCGTTCACAAAGGCAGAGTGCTTTAAGTTTCTTTTGCATATCTCATCTCTATAAAAAGCAAAGCAGAACTCTATACAAAACGAAAGAAAAAAAAAATCTAAAATGCTATCGTAAAATAAAAAGTAATCTGTACAAAGAACATCGCACAACAAAAATACCACTAGAGTGAAAACTTACTTGAGTGTAACAGCGGCAGGCCGTGAGCAAACGTTTCGGCAATGTCCCGGTCTCGCAGGATTCATGAGTCGCAATTTCATGCAAACATGTAAAAACGGGGTAACAAGACTGGGAGGAAGTTCACCACACTATATGACCTCAGAGCAGACAGCGCAGGGCTAGATATGCAGAATATCCATGAAATTAAGTTTTCCTCACGTCAGAAGGCGTGACGGGATGATGACCGCGGGATAGCGACCACAGACGCCAACTGGGAGGAAAAACGGAGTCTTATCACACACAACGTGAAAGTGTTCTTTAAAATCTACTGCAGGTGTGGCACTGACGAACGTGTTCAGTTGTGATTACGTGGATGGGCCGTGTAAAGCTTGTGTACGTGTGAAGTGTGTCACTTCTCTTGGAGCAGGGCAGGGATGTTGATGTTCCAGCCGATGGCCTGGCGGTCGAA